AATTATGCAATTTCAATTACTTATGAGGAAAAAGTAAGGGTAAAAAGAGTTACAATTACGAAGTAGACACAAACCGATATTAGATGACACAAGGCATTTCTTTTTGGTATTAATTATCATTGAAGCTATGAAATAAACATCTTTGTTTGAGCAGTCATATTGTCTTGATTAGGCGGAGCGAATAATAGGATTGAAGGAGGCTTAATGACCATTGTCACGGTTTAGTGGGATGATTTGATCAAAGTTTGGGTGAAACTAAGTTGGCAGTTGTGGATGAGAGCCAAAGGCTCAGAAGTAGGTCTAAATTGCGAAACAAATGGTCAAACTTTGTTACCAATCTACATCTTTCTGTTTCTCCATGTGCAATCAATGGCATCGCAGCACATTGTGATGTTAGAACTAGAAGCCAGAAGGTGTGTGTGTATGTTTGAAGACGTTGCTAAGACTTTTTATCTCAGAAAAACACAAGACAAAATGTTGTGGTTTGGTCCCACATCGGTGAGGATCCGGAGATGAGAGGCGCGGAGTGGGTATAAAAGCAAGTGGAGGGGCACCAGAAAAGATACTTACCTGGACGGGGTGATTGGGCGATCAAGACGGCCCATGGCCTGGGCTGGTGACCTCCATTGCACTTTGGAGGGGTGTCCGCCCAAGGTCTGCTCACTGTAGCAGAGCCTACGTCGTTATTTGTGCTAGTGGGGGCCTGCGTTCGCGCGGCCCCTCCACAACGTTTAGTTCCAATTTCTTATCATATTTTTAATAATTATAATATTACCCTTACTGCTATATTATTTTTATTTACTTTTTGAAAGGATAAGCAAAGTCAAGGAAATGAAATTTTCTTTTTGTGAGAGATTTGTTAATATTATTCACACTACATTCAAAGGACGCCACTTTTTACTCTTTTTTGTAGATTCCTCAAATCTCCCTAAATATTATATATATCTCTCAATATCTTTGTTTTTTTCTTTTTGATACTGATCTCTTAATATTGATATCTATTACTTGGAGGGTGATTTTCATATTTAAGAATTTTCATATTTAAGACTTCAGGTTCCATCGATACACCCAAACACACCTTCCTTTAAAAATGATTGATTGTAAGTCTGGAGCTCGTAAGTGATGTATTCCACCTTACCTCTACTCAAGCTGTTGCTAAAGTAACGTTTAAGCTTAAATTTTGAAAGAAATTATTTGCTTGGTATTGACCCTAATTTACAAGAATATTTTGTAGTCTTGGTAGAGAGGAAAAGGATTTGGATTTATTTATTTATTTATTTATTTTTTTGTGAGGGGGAAAGGATTAATAACTTATCCGGTTGAGATATCACAATGAGAATCCTAGATATTATTGGAGTAAAGGATTCTCAAAAAGGGCGTTGGTATTTGTTTTTATAAATTTCCTAATCAAAATCTTTAAAAAGCACTTTCTACTACTATAAAATCTTAACTAAACACTATCAATTAGAGGGGGGAAAAAAACACTTTCTTCATCCATAAACACTTCGAAGGCATAATACCAAACACACTCAGCAGTTGCCGAGAAGTTCAGCTTCTTTCTATGTTTAGAGTGAGCCGAGAGGACGTTCTATCGCAAAAAAAAAAAAAAAAAGAGTAAGAAGAGCCAATTCTCAAGTATAAGATCGCAAAATTCTCTTCAAAACAAACTTAACAAAGAACATGAATCCATTTGGGCACAGTAATTGGTAATTGCCAATTGCAAAGTGCTGAAACCAAAAGCTTTTCATTGAATGCATCACTTCAGTTAAGTTATCCCACAGAAACCCAAACACTGATGTTTTGTCAAGTCATGCCAACAATTTAGAGGGAAAAAGAAAAGGCCAAGTTTTTAAAACACATGTCACTCCTTTCACACCATATCATGTGAACCACTGTTACCAATCTTTGTTGTCAAAACAAGAAAAATCTCGACTTTTCTAAGCTCAACATATTCAAGACAAAAATGTAAGCAAAAGTGACTTCTAAAACAACAACTACCTAAACATGGTTTTACAAAACTCGACCAAACTTGATATGTTTTCTTTTCTCAAGATTCTTCAGAGACAGCAAGCAAATATTCTTCAATATTCAACCACAGAAAATGTCCCAAAAGAGGGCTCGTGAATGTGTTTTGCTTTCATCTCTCTACAAACTTTGATCAAAGGCCTCTATTTGCCAAAACATGCTATCAATCTGTGCATCTGTCTCAGAAAATGCAACATTTTCAAGGGTTATTAATATCCCTGAGAAGACTGGTTTTAATAATCTGTCCTTTTTGCTGTAATCATCATAAAAACAGAAGTCTCTTTTCATAAAAAGAATTTATGAAGATGAATAGCAAACTGCTTACAGCAAAGCATGAAGCAGCAAAGAAGGCATCAAATGAATAAATAATCAATTAAACAAGTCTTGATCCTGTGAAGAATGTACATCTCTCAAACTAAACAAACAGAGAAGTGAAAGAAAAGAACTCCAAAAAGGTTAAAATCCTAAGCTTTCCTAGTGAAATTGTTGTTACCAAAAAGCTCAATCCAGACACACAACAAATCAATACACAGTTGTCCTACAACTCCCCCAAATTTCCAACCCATCAATCTGATCAGTAGAAAACGGGAGAAAAACAACAAATCAGTTAGATCAAATTCTTGAAAGAACTCAGCTACTACAGCCTACAAAACAATCTTCTTCCCAGATTTTGAATAATAAAGGAGATACCAATCAACAAATTTCTTCAAACCTGTCTGCAAATCTGTGGTGGGCTTGTAGCCAAGCTCCTTCTGAGCCAGAGTAATATTGGCATGGGTGAAAGGGACGTCGCCGTTCCTCGGCATTGGCAACACTATTTTCTTAGCCTTGACCTGCAGCAACTTCTCCAAAATGGTCACCAGCTTACTAACAACCACCGGCGAAGTATTCCCAAGATTGAACACCCGCAATTGAGCCTTTCCCTTCTTCTTCCCGCCGCTCCCGGTGCTCTTCCCCGCCGTATCCAATGCACCCAAACAACCCTTCACAATGTCGTCGATGTAAGTAAAATCTCTCGCCACAGAACTGTGATTAGGGCCTTCGAAAATCTTAATCGTCTTCCCCTTCAGAATATCCTTAGTGAAAAAGAAATACGCCATATCTGGCCGTCCCCATGGTCCATAAACCGTGAAGAATCTCAACCCAGTAATTGAAAGCCCGTAAATGTGATTATACGTGTGTGCAATTTCCTCGCCAGCCTTCTTAGTTGCAGCGTATAAGCTGGCGGGTTGATCCGTACGATCCCTCTCCGAAAAGGGGACTCGAGAATTGAGCCCATAAACCGAACTAGAAGACGCCCAAACAATGGCCGGCTGCGGATTAGCCGATTTACACGCCTCGAGTACACTCACAAAACCCCCAATATTGCTTTGCACATACGAATTGGGATTTTTCATCGCATATCGCACGCCCGCCTGCGCCGCGAGGTGCATTACGTGAGTGAATTTAACTAATTCGAACAGCTTCCCCAGCAGGGCTCCGTCATTGACGTCGCCCTCGACGACGAACACGCCGGCGCGATCAAGTAGCGCGGCGCGTGAGCGCTTGAGAGAGGTGTCGTAATAGGCGTTGAAATTGTCAATGCCGACGACTCCATCGCCGCGGCGCTTCAGTGCCAAGGAGACGTGAAAGCCGACGAACCCCGCCGCGCCGGTGACTAGCACCCGGTGAGAACGCGAGTGAGACTGCGGCCGGGTCGAGTCCCGGATCCGATTCTCCCAAACGGGCCCCGCTTGAAGAAACCGGCGAGTCCGATCGGCGGACAAGGGAGGTGATCTCGGAAATAGGAAAAATAGGAGACCCAGAAAAATGAGAGTCCAGAAAGTAAGAAGTTTAGTCCTGCTGAAGAAGCGGGAACGGTGAAGATATGGAGGTTTGTCCATTGCTGGATTCTCCCTTTTTCTCCCCCGAAGAAGAAGAAGAAGAGGGGATGCGCATACCAGAAATTGTTTATTTAAAACTATTTATTTTTTATTTTACTTTTCTTCAAAACTCAAAAAGTATCTATTTTATAATAAATTATGAGATACGGAGAGAAGATGTGAGCGTGTGTTTTTTTCTCTAATTAAAATATAGTTTGACGTTTGAGTTTAATTTAATTATTTATAAAGGTTTGATTTTATCCTTTAAAAAAGTATCTTTCTCTTTGTCTAAAACAAGTGGACGTGAGAGATTCAACTTCATGACTTTTTTCGTTAGAGGTAGGTGTCAATTACGGTCGAAATATTTCAAATAATAGTAAGAAGATTATAGAATTATATTTTAAAAAAAGTTCTTATTAATTTATGTAGGGCTGAGCCTCACGATGGGCCTGAATATTGGCCCTACACTGCCAAACCCAAAAATTGGGCCGTTGGGCCGCTACTTTGCCGTGAAATTGTCTCGGTACCCAGTCATCACTCTTCTCATCTTTAAATATGTAGCTTAAATTTAGAAAAAATTTTGATAAAAATTCAAAGTATTAAAATGATTATAAAACCAGTTTTTGATCTACTATTTTTTTAGCACAGCACCCTGGGTGAGAAGTCAAATGTTTGACCTTTTAGTTGATGATATGTTAACTATCTTTAAATTGATTGTTAAAGTCTACGTTTAAATCTAATAAAACGTTAAAAATATATACTTCAATTTAGAGGTTATATTCATAATATAATCTATAATAATTTTTAAAAAAATGTTTAAAATGTGTTGTTAAATGTTAATTGGCTTTTAGGGAGTATACAGTGTGTTTGGCAACGTTTCTGTTTCTCGTTTCCAATTTTTTGTCATTTTTCAACTATGTGTCTTGGTTTTCTTTACTAGGAATTTTCTCAAAATTGCATACAAATTTTGAAAACAATCAAAACAAATTTTTTTTTTCTGGTTCACATTTCCAATTTATTACAAAATATAAATAAATATATAGTTTTGTGATATTTGAATTCATGGATGTTGAGTCTATGTAATTCAATTTTTTTATTAAACAAAAATAAGAAACATGAACGAATCTTACCCACCAGAAAATATCTTTGGATTTGAAGCCCATTGAAACGAGTGAATCAAATCAAATCATCAAATTGTGTAATTAATCCCTAAGAGAGATTGCAATTTGTAATCATTCACATCACAACATTACTCAAATCTCCTTTATCTTTTAGTTCCATCAAAATCATCATTTTTTTTATGCCTTTTCCCTCTCTCTTATCCTTTTCTTTTATCTTTCTTTTTCTTTTCTTTTCTTTTTTTGGGGTAAATATTGACTTTTGGGTTTTGGGTAACTTTTAGCTTATTGTGAGCAAACTTGGCTTTTACTGCTGTGCCTTAAAAATTTTCACTTGAGGTAAGTATTTAATGTTAAAGGGCAAGGTACAGAGGTAAAGAGGTGAAAATTAGCGACAAAAAAGTGCATGTGGATTGATTTCTTTTAGTGGAGAGATGACTTTTTAGTCCTCAAAATGAGAGGTAAGTTGGGGTTTGTCTTTGCACAATACTTATTAAATAAATTGTAGGTTTAAATTGGACTACATTATTTAAATTATTTAATTTTTTTAATCTAAAATGAACTCATAACCTAAATTAATCTAATAGGAAACTTTACCTATATATTTTTCTTTTTGAAAAATATCCCTTCTTAATATTTGAGAAGTTTCAATTTTACCTTAAGTATCAAAATCATATATTTTTTGGTTAAATTTATACTGAAGTATACAATTAAAGTTAAAGATATTGTTTTGAATTAGCTTGTAATTTTTTAATGTGTTTTAAATTTTCATCTCATTCTAACCACTAAAATACCAAATTATTTATTTATCTCATCCATTTGATAAAAGGGAAAAAAATCACCTCTATGTATGTGTGTGTGTATTCTTTTGAGTATATGAGCTAGAGAGATTCGAATTCATGACTTCTTGATCAAAATATGTGCCAATTCTAAACTCATGTTGGCGATTGAGTATACATTTCTTTGTGCGACCTCCCCTTTTTTAGATTTTCAACAACTCCATCAAATATACACTTTTCTTCAAATAAATAAACTGGAAAACTTTTATTCATCTTCATGTAGTAATTGGGTCAAATGAAATTTTCTTTACTCGATAAGTTTATGTGAATGTTTAACATTGAAAAACGATAACGTCATATAAAATTATATATATTGAATGTTAAATTATGATCTAATTATTTAATTTTTAACGGTATTATCCAATCGAACCCGATTAGAAAGAAAAGAAAGACTTTAACAAGATACCAAATTGATAAATGGTATAAACTTTCCACCAAGGGGTCCTACCATCATTACCACTTGATCTAAGCCTATGTTGTTATTATTGTCCATAAATAAAATTGTAAGACATGGAGTGTAAAGAATGGGAAGTAAAGGAAGAACATGTATTTTAGTTGGTTAAATAGTACAATAAATTTGTCTAACAAGAAAGCCAACCATGTTGTGGGTCTTAATTTGATTGAAACTTAAATTTATTGGTCACACGGTCGATCATTTACTCCGATGCCACGAGAATACAATACATTAAACTAAGTCTAAATAATTCACCCTTAGAAGTTGAAGAGAGTAATTTGAAGTAGGCAACGGTGCCTGTTATTGATCATAGGACCGCATAACAAGTATTATTCATGTTTAAAGAATTCGATCCTTCATTGCATATATTAATTGTATGTACCTTAAGAATGAGTGATTCCTATATATTTCTCGATATCAAATGTTGTATGATCAGATGATTTTCCCGTGACATTAGTCGAGATCCTGCGTATAAACTGGACTCGGAAGCTCACGAACATAAAAATATATATTTAATATTAATTGCATGTAATTCGTTAGCCTAAGAAAAATAAAATGATGAGAACTGACCACGAACTTTTTACCTTTGTTGCAGCAATCTGATCACATTTTGGTAGAAATAGACTTTGAGTTGTTTTAAAAGAAATTTTGTATAAAGAGAATTTAAAGTTCGAGATAAATTATATATTATTTATTAAATAATTTCTTTGAATTGATCGTATTTGGCATGCAAGGCTCCTTTGATGAATTAATTTATGGACTACATAAGCTTAAGTTTACGAAATTTAAATTTTATACGTACCTAATATACCAACTTCTGTTAATTATGAACAAAATATCTAATAACAAAAGATTTAGAATTCAATTGAGCACAAATAAAATCACAAATAAAAATGGTATAGTAATAATAATATTAAAAACACGAGTCATATTGGTTTCTAGAAGTTGTCCAAATTACCCTCTCTGTTTTTAAATATAATTAGAGACAAAAGTTGATTGAAAGGGTCCAATCAAAAACAGAGAAAAATCCCCACAAAGGAAAAAAGGGTGAAAAAAATGGTTTTTTTTTTGGAGTAAAGAAAAGATCTAATAACATAATTTTCAGAAATTGAAGATTGATGTATGAGTGATTAATGTGGGTTAATTTAGTCTTTATCGATAAAATCATTTGCAAATTGGCTAATGTTCTTTCGGTGCCTTTTCCAATTTACCAAACGCTAAATCACTATGTGATTTCCAATAAAGATACCTCTTTGATTTTTTTTATAATCCAATCAACTTTAATTATAAGCCTAGAAAAACAAAATCTTCGTATAATTAGTTAATTACTCACTAATCACTCATCACTAAATGTATTTCAGTTAAGAATCCTCATTAAAAAAAAAAAAAAGCCTATAAAAAACATCTACGAGCAAAAAAAAAAATAATAATTTAACTATCAAAACAATGATAGTATATCGTTCGTTTTACAAAGTCTATAACAAATGCAACGTTGGCATCATGATGTCTCTATTAGAACATATCATCTCATTTTGTACAATATTAAGGTGTCAATTTTTATGAAATTTGTTTCTAAGCAATATATATTTTAATTTTTCTTATCTTTGTTTTTGTTTTAAAATATAACTAAGGATCAATCTTCATTCTCTTTATTAAAGGCAATATGAATTCAAATTATCAACATTCAAACACAATTTACTTTTATTTATATGAACACAGTTCAACTAGTCAAAACATTGTTACGTTCCTAAATGTTAGAGATTTAAATCCTCAAAACCTCTTTATTGTCCAGGAAAAAAAACACAAATTTACATTTAGAAAATGTAGAATGATATTAATTTTTTGTGTTGTATAATGAATATTTTCCACCCGTTGTAGTTCTAAAATAACACAATTTACATTTTAAAAATATATAATGACATTAATTTTTTGTGTTGTATAATAAATATATATATATATATATATATATATATATATATAGTGAATACAACATAATGAGGGGACATAGATTTAAAAGCGTAATAATATTTGTAACAAGTCAACACTATTTATAATATTTATATGCTTGCGTGCAGGGTAATATTTATATGCTAGAGTACATAAATATTATTATGTAATAAGTTCAATATAATAATTTTGACCTAGGTGACATTACATTCATATTAATAGTGAATAAATTTTGATCTAGGACGTCTATATCTAAGGAAATACGCAGGAGAGGGGTTTGTTTTTTAAGTATTACGATATATAGGAGAGAGTTATGTCATTACAATTCACACTTTAATCATGCATTAATTAAAATGATTTATTGAATTCTATTTTTTTAGAATATTACATCACAAATAATATGACCCTTTAATTGCGTTTTAGCTAAAAAGGATAGACTATCGATTTACTTATTTTTATGAAAACTAATCTCTCCAATCTCTTAGGACAAACGCCTAATCTTACTATATTTAATTACCAAGAAAATCCATAAGATATTAAATCTCTATCTTGGCTCCTTTAGACGACTAGGCCAACATAGTTACGGGTTAGAATATTAAGAATATATTAAAGCTAATTTTTATAGTTAACATAAGAAAGATATAATTAAAATGTTTTCTTTATATGAAAAAAGAGTAGCACTATGATCAAATCGCAAGTCACAATTCCAATGACCAAAGTCTTTGC